GCACACTTCCAAGGTGCACAAGTTAAGGAATGTGGTCATGATCCTTGACTTGGTGACACTGTGATAGATGATAGAAATGGCAAGGAATTTTGTGACACTGATGTCGGTCGACTCATCTATGATCAAGCTGTAATAGCTGTCGCCAATGTCCTGTGCCAGATCCGCCTTGAAGTGTGGGCCAAGAACGTTCTTAATCACGGAAGCGCACTTGGAGCGGCGCATTTGATACGCTCTTGCAGCTTCGCTGTCAGGAAACGACTTCTTATAGAGTTGGCACAAGTGATCGGCAGTCATAATTGAAGAATGTTCGGAAATAAATAGAGCAGTTCTGCCCTCAGCGGCATTCCCTGGTTGGACTTGCTTTTTTGTAGTGAAGCCCAGTTGCTTCTGGATCGAAGAACTGCCAGCCAGTTCCCTATGCTTCTTGGTGTTCGCATGAGCTTTCAGGTCCGAATATCTGCTGCCTAGTTGACAGCCGCAGTGCTTGCACGCCGCAACTTGTTTTCCATCAGCAGACGCTTTGCACTCCAGCCATTTGCTGAGTAAGGGATCCTTTAACCACTCCGTCCTGAACTTCTGTGAATATACCACTTTCGGCATAACTCAAGAGGAAGGGGAGTCAGGTTACACGGAGAATAAACAGAACCGTTTTTCGACACAAAGCAGCCGGACGTCTTCCTTTGTTCTCTGCAACTTCGAACGCAAAAAAACAACTGGGTGGCTACTTCCCCAATCGCCTCGCTTCCCACCGGGACTACAGGCGCCCCCTGCCGCTTGCGGTGCAAACAGCGAGCCCGCTCTCTGCACGATAGCGGACTCACTGTTTGCACGGCAAGCGTCAGGGGGCGCGCAGAGTCCACAGATTGGTGCATTTCAGCTCGTCCGTTGTTTATTACTTAGAAAGCGATCGCCGCTTTGAAACCTCACGGACTTGTTTGTCTGAGATAGGCGGAGCAACTGAACAGGAGCCTCTGAAGTTAAACATTTTCCGCATTTTTAGAGAACACGGGAATGGTTTCTTGCAGGGCGATTTTGAATTGGTCCACTGCGTGAGGTATCCGACAGAAATCCGCTATGTACAAAAATGGCCCGTCAGAAAATCCGCTAGCCGCTAGACTGATTTTTTTCCCGTCAAAATAAAATAAAATCCGCCAGATTTAGCGGGAAATCCGCTAAATTGGCACCACTGCTCATAGACTGCCTGAGTTTTCATGGGAGAGGTAGCTGTTGCGGAGTCATCTCCAAGACCCGCTCTCTCTGTTGTCCCAGGCTCTTCACTACTCAGTATGAGTACTTCACAGCACTCTCACTGGGGGGTGCTGGGATGGCAGGAGTAGTGGCGGGCTGCTTCCACGGACCATCCGCATCGTCACTGTTTGCCTGGTTCCATCGGCACCTATGGGAATTCGATGTGTTCATTTCCTCCTTGTCATCGCTCAAGGGGAGTCCCACACTGGAGTAGACCTCCAGGGCCGGGTTGTGAGCGTGTAACACTGGGCCATCTTGCACAGGCAGTAGTCGTGCGGAAGCGTCGCTGGTCGGGGAGGAGGACCGACAAGTAAGGCTGATGCCCGTGGCCCTTTGTGCTGGCAGAAAGTTGTCCACTTGTTTGATGACATCTTTGCTTGTTAAACGAAAGAGCCACCAGGAGTGGAGCTCTTTTTCGCTGGCGGTCAGGCTGATGGCACGCTGGCGATCAGTCTGAGAGTGGCGCTGGGAGCGCCCGACGACTTGCTGGGTGGCAACAAAGGGCCACTGAGCTCGCGCGAGCGTCGTCGTCTCATGACGTGGAGAGCTCCATTCGGGCTGCGATCACAGCACACTATTTGGTGGAAGTATGTAGTAGTGTTCGCAGCGGTAAAGTAATGTCCGCGGCACTCACGATATTCACCAAAGGTTAGCCGCGTGTGAAACAGTCGAGCGCACAGAAAAACTCCGGCGCAATGAACAGTTCAGGTAAAAAAGAAAAACAGCACTGTGAAGGTTACAAAGCGAGGCTAGCTAAGGGCACGGGACGCACGCTACAAAATACTAGGCGCGAGTGTACAGGTAAAAGGAGACGAGACGCGTTTAGGCCAAGAGCGACTCGGCAGCCAGACAAAGGTAGCGGCTTACGCCTACGAGCTTGGGCGCTGTTAATGTCCCGAGACACGGGTTAGTCACTAGCAGGAAACACTCGACTACATAAGGATAAAATAACGTTACAAAAAAAATGGCAGCATACCCACGCAGTGAATTATGGATAGTGGGGCAAAGCATCTGTCCGCCCATTCATTCTTGCTAGCGTCCATCTGCTCGTCGGTGCGTGTGTCTGTTCGTGCGCCTGCACGTTCATCTGTGTGTCCGTCCCTGCTTTCGTCCATGCATCCTCTCCTGCGTCCGTCCATGCGTCCATCCGTCCGTGCAGCCATCCGTGCGTCCGTCCATGCATCTGTCTTTGTGCCCGTTCGTCCACCTATTCAACACTCCAAGTACCACCATCTCCCATCTTTTCATCATATATTCCTCATACAGAAGCACCGCCAACCAGCAGACATTCCAAGGACTGAACGAGAGAAGGCACACGCACACTTTCTTACGGCTTGCGCTTTGTGTCTACTTCCCACCTTTAATCACCTCGAGTTCATGGTATATACTAGTTCACTGTATTCATGGCATTGCGGCCCAACGCTGGCTAAACCTTTCTAAAACCTAAGAGGTTACGCCCAGCGAGTATAACGTAGCTACCCTTTCTTGTCTTCTGTGTGTTGTTGAACAATAAAAAATTCGTAGCGTGCGGGTTAACTAAAAGCCGAATTCTCCTGTCTCTCATTCCCCTTTAGCAGCCATTGGCATGTACATTGAGCACTATCTTTTATTGTTCAACAACGCACAGAAGAAATCTCTTACCGGCACCACCTTGGAGGTCAAAATGTAATACTGGTTACACACTATGACTATTACTACGGCTACGAGGGACGAACGGGTGCCGCTATAAGGAGCTTCGCCCCTAAAAACAGTGTGGTGAGTAAAAGTTGAACACACAAAGTACAAAGTTCTTGCACTCATGAATGGAATGTTCACTACGCTGTACACGCCAGTCGGGCGCGTGAATGTAGAGAGTATTGCTAACACTCATCGCACGATAATGCGAGGCGTAGGAAAAGTGCAGTGGATCCAGCCAGGGCCATGGTGCAGGTGCAAGGGCTCGCTTGCTGTTCCATCCGCACAGTAGCACGCACAGTGCACACAAGTACGAGGGCCGTACAAGTGTAGGGCGAGCCGCAAGCATGGCTACACGTGACCGAACAGGTCGCGACTGGCACGGGAAACGGCGAAGAGCGGGGAGCGTAAGTTAAGACAACCTTCCTCCTTGGCTGGTGAGACGAGCAAAAACCCACTTCTGGAAACACACACTTGCGCGGTCTATGTAAAGCTTTCCGTGCCACCTTCTTCCTCCGATGATACACAGTTTTCTGGGACACTGTTTTTCCGACCTGCAGTGCAGTTGCGTAAAACTTCGGCATTGGTTGTCACCTTCCTTTTGAATGCTGCGTCATAGTGGCAACGACGACTTGCCATAATGACCAGTGACTATGGAAAGGTTCCTGTAGGTAGTCCAAATGCCACGCCAAAGGTCACAGAGGCTGTGCGTATACCAGGAAGGGTACAGTGTACTCTAGCAAGGGAACATAAAAGACAAGCGCACATGGAAACTCGGCTTCTGGATTGCAACCTAGTGGATTTCGTCTGGCTGTTTCTGGCTTCTAATGACTTTAGAGGTTTGAATTTTTTTATTTTTTTATTGTGTTCTCGCTTACAGTTCAAATATGTAATGTGCTATAACAATAAATATCTGAAATTATTTACATTTTAATGCAATGAAATTACAGTATGCCTGTCCTGGCATCGAAGCAATAATTGATGTTTGCTTGTTTATTATTACTCATAACCCTAGAAGGGTCATTACAGGAATGGATGAACGATCATATACAGTTTAATAGGAAATATTCACGTTACATAAGTGTCAACATGATCTCAAGGGCACTGCTGACTTCAGAGATACGACAAGAGGAGTGCCCTTGGAAAAGACAAAAAAAAAAGCACGAACGCACGTCCCGTCCACAGCGTGGCGTTAATGATTAGTTTACCTTAAATGATTAATGTTTACCTTAAATATAAGGCGGGGTAGACTTTAAGGGTACGGTTCAGGGAAAAAATTCTTGTCTTATATATAAACAGAAATGGTATCACTTATGTGTTAGGATCAAGGAATGAATAAATTTAAGGGCTCAATCTCTTTGTTAGGCACATTGCTTATGAGAACTATAAAAGCAAGAAACCTTTTTTCAATATGTCTTTTGGGAAAGAAACTTTTCTGTGCCACAAGCCACACAAATATTTTTCAAGTTCTGATCTACTATATTTAGTCAGTGGACTATTTAGTCAGGCTGATGATGATGATGATTTAGACAACACAATTATCTTTGTCTGGGCTTCTTTAAATGCTTTAATAGCGAGTGTTAAACTTAGTCAAAGAGAAATGCGAACACTTACTAGAAGACCTATACACATATGTAGCTGAGTGCTGACAACATGCATGGTGTGTTACGCTGCACATGTGCACAATTTGCCGTTGTGTGCTAAGATTTACAAGTAGGAAGAACAATACGATCAAAGAAAATATCTGATGCCCCAGTATCAAGGAAATGTAACAAAACATGTTCACTTGTTCAACATGAGCACTTATATACAATTGTGTTGGTTTATAAGGGCATTGTATTAGTCATGTCAAAGCAACAGTTCTTTCATTATATCGTAGTGTTCTTCACATTGTTTAAAAAATTCACTGCTTTGGAGGTGTTTAAACAGTTGAAATTTGACCGAATGTCTATGTGACGCAACTCTGAGCTACAGTGTACCAGAATTGGCAAGTGCGTTGTGCGCGGGTGCAAAACGGGTCGCCTCAGTGATGATACCCTCCTCTCCCAACCAGTTCTCAGCATCCCTCTTACATGCAGTGCCATCTCACGGCGCGCGGAGCAGTCCCCGCTGAGACGACCCGCTTCGCTAGTGCGCGGCGGCGGGGACTTTTCGTCTGCTCCGCAACGGAGCACGCCGTTGGGAAGCCGCAAGCTCTGTTGGCTCTTACCTTAAGACTGTTCCTCGGAAGAAAGAAAAAAGATGGCACGCTCGCTTGGGGTAAGTATGCTGTTCACAGATAGTCGGCATTTTCCCCATTTTTATGGTGCTTTTATAATGTCTCTGGGAGAATCGGATCCGCTCTACTGCATCCGCTCTAGTTCTGATATTCAAAGACAGCTTGGCTAACGGACGCATATTTTCAGACACTTTAAAGGATTAACCGAGGAGGCTCGTATATTCCGATTAAATGCGCAGTGACATCGGGGCGAAGGCCTAGACAAGATTAGCGATACGATTGCGGAGGCACAGAGTAATAAACAACTGCTGGACCAAGTTGCGTGCTGTATTTCCAAATCATTTTTACAGGGTACAACCGACACAAAAATACAAAAAACTCGATCTAAATGGTTACAACAAAAATAACTTCCATCCTTCATACACCCACAATAGCAGCAACAAAAATGAACAGAAGTAAAAAAAAGTGTGGACACCAGACTGTACAAGCAAGAACAAGTGACTGCAACATGGGCAAAAGCAAGAATCAAAGTACAAAAGAAAATATTAGCGACAGATTATAACACATGAGGCATAAGAAAAGTCAATGAAAACATAAGTACACAGATAAGTGTACTGCTCATTTGTAACATTGTAAAACTGTTCATTTGTAACATGAGATGAAATAAAAAAAGTCCAAGGTCATGAAACAATAAAAATGTAATAAAGTACAAGGGAACACACTGCACAAGAAAGAATGATAAATAAGACCAAGTGTATGCAAAAAAAGAGGGAAATGAATAGGGCAATTAGAAATGTTGCACTTTATCTGAAGTTATGTGCACCTCCTCATTTTCAAATGCTTTTTCTGATCAGGTTTAGTGCTCCTGTCTTGGTTCAATGACTTTGCATAAAAACTAAAACGAAGCAAAACATAAAACTTCACAATCACAAGTGTGAAGTCCTTTGCATGGTTACTACACCCAAGTGTAGGGATTTCCACATTTTGCAAGAATGCTGCAAAGTCACACATGCTAGCTGCTTCGATTTTCCTAGAGCTACAGAAAACCGTGAACGACTCTTCTAGCGTATCAACAAGCTGTGCCAGACCAGAAGACGGGTAAAGGAGATCACCGCGGTCAAACTGACGGATGAATTCAGTTTGGGTGTTTGACACTGCGAACGCCTTGCTTATGGTCAAGTGCTCGGTGCATATCGTACCCCCAGTTTTCTGCCTGGCCTTCCGAGCCACATAGCCTGCGACATAATGTACCAGGCGACTCGAACTGTGGTGGGTGACATACTCAGTATGGTCTTCTGGAGGCAGGATGTTCAAAGCTTCTTCAACATCATCAAGCCTTCCTTCATCGAAAAGCAGGTCAAGTGCATCAATTGGACTGGGCTGATGATGGCTGGTTTCAGCATTTGTGTGAGCAAGCAGTGCATTAACAACCTCAGAGCTGCAATTTCCTCCTTTTGGTGGTTTTGCAAGGTTGTAAAATGCTAGTGCATTTATTGTTGCCAAGAACTGGGCTGGCGTTGGGTGGTCATTGGCACCATTAAATTGCCTCACAATACCGAATAGGTTTTCCAGCTTGTCCTAGCTTAGTCTAGATGTCAGCAAATACTTAAAGCCAACTTGCGAAGACAGGTATTGTACAAGATCCAGTGTCGACTGCAAAGTGACACGGAGGCCCTCTGCTGTGTTAGAACACAAAAACCCTTTTTAGCATTTCTTGCATGTGCTTCCCACTTGTTCAAGAAGTCAAGAAACTCTCTTAAAAAGCCAATGTCAGTAAAGTCCACCTTTAGGGTGGCCAATGGAATGCGTGAGGTCATAATTTTGGTTAATTTTGACATTCTTGCTATAAATGCTTCTGTTTCACTCGCTGAGGACTTGAAGACCTTCTCAATGTGTTTCCTGTAAAAAAACAGCTTTTCAACACTTTTTCACTGAAGATGAGGAGTGCTGGTGCCACCCTCATTTTTTCAAAAGAAGTCGGATAAAGGTGCACTCGACTTACGTGAGGCATGACCTTAAGAGTCACATTCTTGTCCTCCTTCCAGGCTTCCTTAACGAAGTCAGCATGAACTTGACCTTTGGGTGTCTCGTAACCTGTTTGCAGAAATGCGTTTCGAAGATTCTTCAGCAAGTGGGGGAAGTCCGAGAAAGAGGGAAGTGCCCGAGTGTCATCCACCGGGTGAGGGCACTTTGATCGGATGCTCGTTGCAGACCCTGCGTTTACAAAAGCGGACAAAGATAATATGATCACAAAAGTGTTTCAACTGTATTGCAGTGTACCAATTATTTAAACAAGGCCCACACGATACAGCTTGTTTATGACTATTGGGATATGCACATAAAAATTAAAGTTACTTGCCTTTTATGCCAAAAATCTTCCACATGCCGCGGTTCCAAGTGGCTCCATCACATGTGACACCATCAACATGGAGCCCTGCTTGTTCGCAGAGCAACGTGGCTTCGAGCACAATCTTAGACAGTACATCTGCCTGTACGTTACTTTTGGAGGCGAAGACACCCAGGATCTGCATCCAACTTCCTGAAACCAAAATGCAAACCAATGAGTACAAATCATCACGTGTCATAAAATATATATGGCAAGTGATTTCTCCAGCTAGAACATCAAATTCCAAACAGAATGTATGCTCAGGCTATAATTTTGCAAGCTTTACCTGTAAATGGCTGGAAAACTATCACCAGGCCATGGGCAGCAAGTTCTTTGCCAGACTTCTCATTCTGGAATTGGCCCAGGTCGACGAAGCCATCAATGCAGCCTGCGTTCGAGACACAGTGAAAAAAACATTCTGGGCACTGAATGTGTGTAACTGCGTACTACGCAAAAGGAAATTGTGCCACTTCAGCACATGCTACTATTGCTGATACGACAGGCAATATGAGTTAATACAAGATTCGATGAATCATTGCTGATGTATTATGACTAGAGCAGCAGATACGTACCAGAGGGCTTTACGTCGATGTGCTCCGACACTTTAATTTCGTCGAAGACGACCACCCCGTGCCGATTGAAGCCATCTAGTTTCTTGACCTTTTCTTTCAAGGCTTTGAAAACGTTTGGGTTGAAGCCAAAGCCACTCTTGAAATGCTGTGCAGCCTTGTTGAGGCAGATGCGGCCAGGCAAGGTTAGGATGTCTTGACGCCTTAAATGTTCATAGAGCTTGGGGCTCCTCATCTGCATCAATATGCATTCTAAAAGGCACTCCTCGCCATACTTCATTCCTTTCTTGGATTTTCGGCAAGCTGCTTCGAAGCAAGTCCTGACGGCAGCTTGTTGCTTCTGCGGAAGGCCCTTAATTTTTTCGAACAGTAGTTCCTCAGGTACTTGCTCATTCTTTGCCTTCATTTGACTCAAGGTCATTTTCACTTTGGTGAACTTCGCCTTCATTCTTCGAAGACTACGACGAACATTCGTCTTGGCCGCCTTCCTCTTGGGGCACCTTCGCCTGGAGAGTTGGTTCAGGATAAGCTTCCTTTGATATTTACAGTGGATGCAGGCAGTGGCCGGGCCTTCTTTCATTGTGATTGTGCAGTTCTTAGAAAAGAACTTTCCATTGAATGACGAGCACTCGCCAGACAAAGGTTCTAGACCGGCACCACAACACAGACTGAATTTATCTACATGGTCCAGCAACGCTTCCGCTTCCTCACGCGTTGCAATCTGCTGCTGTTGCCACTTTCTTCCTTGCAAGTGCACTTCAAGGGTAGCAGCGTTTCCTTCACTTCGCACTTCAATTTTTACGAGCTTCTTCAAAGCGAGTGCGCTGTCAACATCATTCTCGTGCTCCTCGCACTGTGCGTGCATAAAAGGGCCTCCTGAGTTAAGCAGGTGAATTTCCGACCATCCGTGAGGCGTTTTCAGGCCCGAAAATGACAAGGACCCACTTACCTCCACAGAATCGATGCTTGAAACCTGCGTTTTGAGATCCTCGATGGGCGGTGGCTAGCTTTCCGAAAACTTCTTTCTGCTTCGCTTGGCCCCAGGAAGCACCTGGTCGCAGATGCTTCGCTCTTTCCTCTTTTTTGGGAGCCGTTTTGATATGTAGCTTGGGGCCCCAGGGAAGATGGTCAGCAAGGCATCTTTCGCTAGCTGCGGACGATCGCGTTCGATTTCAACAACTTCCCCATTAATAGTTGTTTTGAAAGTCCGCTCAATGAAGTGGGCCTCAAAGTGCAAATCTCAAACCGCACTTGCGACGTTGAGCTCTCTGTCGGCTCTTTTAATAAGCCGGGACCAAGCTTCGCGTTTAACGATGTCCGCCGGAACACGAAACAGCGACCGCGCTTCTTTGCACGACCGATAGCCGCTGTTGCAGTATGGCACAAAACACGTGCGGTCGCGCTTGTCCCACCGTTGTTCCGCCATTCTACTGGTTCACGTCGCCGCTGCACCAGTTCACGACGAGCACATTCTTCACCGTAGCTTCAAAAAAGGGGGAGAAATTTCCTCCACGATGCACCTAGAACAAAATAAGCGAGCGCCACTGCAACGTCTCGTTAGGCCGGCCACCGGAGCTGCTGCAGCAGCAGAAGCATCCCTCTTGCTGGTGGCGCCCCTACCAGGGGTCACTGCCGCGATTTTCATCGCGGCAGTGACCCCTCCGCTCCCATTGTTTGGCTCCGCGGACGACACACTTCCCAATTCTAGTACACTGTATCTGAGCTTTGGTAGCTTTGGTACCGTATTTACTTGAATGTAACGCGACCACGATTGTAACGCGAGGGGTGACTTTTCTGTGCCGAAAGAAAAAACAGGAATGTAACGCGAGTAAAGCGGGGGAAAAAAGTACCTTTATTTGCTGCACATGGTAGTGGCAAAGACATCCCAGTTTCTAAATATAAAGTGAGTTTTGTTTATTCCTCGCTTTCATCGCCGGTGGTCGAGCCCTCTTTGTCACTTTCTTCCTCCCAGATGAGGTCATCCTCCGTGCCATCCATATAGTTCGATATACAGCACTTTTTAAACGCGCGAACTATCATGTCGTGCAGCAGCCCGTACCAAGCGACGGACACCCACTTGGCAATCTTCGCGGCGCTAGGTCGCTTTATCCTACCTGTAGGTGTCAAAGCCCGATCTTCTTGCATTCATTCTCCGTACAGCTGCCGCATTCTATCCTTAAATGGTTTGTTCAGGCAGACGTCTAATGGCTGCAGCACGGACGTCATACCTCCGGGAATAACAGCGAGCTGCGTCTGAGTTTCCCGCATCAGCTTCTTCACTTCGGGCGTCAGGTGACCGCGAAATGAGTCGAGAACTAGGATGGAGGCGAGGGGAAGGAGCGCACCTGGCCGTAGGCACCAC